GGAACTTGTGGGAAGATGAAACTCATTTTAATAACTAATATAAAAATATAGAAGTCATGTATGGCTCAACCTAAAGGAACATGTTCAAAGAATTATGTATAGTTTTGTGAAACTGCTTTTGAAAATAGGATCTCATGTGCTCTAGATTTACACCACCAAGGTGACCATGAGCCCTCCTCGCCTCTGTGTCATGCTGGGATTACAGGCACACACACCCACACCCAGTTTATGCCCAGCTAGAGATCAAACCCAGGGCTTCATACATGCTAGACAAGCACCCAACACCCTAATCACATCCCTGGCCCCAGAATCATTCCACAGCCAGAATCGTCCCACCCAAAATGTCTACAGCTTGGAGGCTGAGTTTTCATGCAACCTGCCTCTGACATAAAGCTTAAAGCCTTGTGTGATGATCAGCACTTCATCCCCAGTGCCAGGGAGCCATGCCATGCCTTCCCTCTCTTCGGCATGTCTCCCATGTCCCAGCTGAGCATGCCTGTGTAAGACCCAACGTCTGAGCATCAAGGAGTGGCTTTCAAAGCAGCTCCCTGTGTGGTTTCTATTCTGCCTGCCTTTTTCAGTATTGAATCCACATAGGTAATGATTCACATCTGTGCCTGAGAAAAAAATTGCAAAAAGTGTGCATATTTTCCTTTGCTTATGTCTAGTTTTAGTGTAGAAGTGATCAATACTGAGCTTTGGTCGTAGAAATGGTGAACCTTAGATCTGTTTTCAAGGGTAAACAGGGTTGAGAGGGGAGGGGACTTGTGGAAAGGGGAAGTTACAAGAAATTGAGCATTTTTAATGCAACTTTGCAATTTTGAATTTCTGTGAAAAGAATCCTTTTGAGGAGAGATGGTTCAGTGGGTTTGCATTAGGCCATTGGAGACCGCTTTAACAGCCCCTTAGTGCCGTTCATCCAGACCCAACAAAGCTGCTTCCTGACCTAGGGAGCTAACAGTTTCATGTTGTCAAGAACCAACACAGGTGAACTTTCTAGTCCACGGCTGCCCCTCCCTACCAAGGCCCCCGGGTGGTGCGATGAGTTGGGAGGATGGTACATGCTTCAGTACCTTCCTTGGAGGTCTCAGGCTGAATCCATTTCATTGCCTGTGCAAAGACCCCATTCATCATGCAAGGAATGTTCTACTGGGGCTGCTCTCCAGCTGACCCCGTTGCAGGCTGTTTACCGTATTTAATGTCACCTGAGTGTTACGTGTGTCCTTTCATGGATGTGAGGGCGTAGGAAGGGCAGGAACTCAGGAGTGTGTGTCTGTGGAGATGTGAAGTGGGTGTGCTTATATTACCCGTGTTTGTTTTTATCTCTGCTTCTGTAGACTACGGTGTATAAAATGTGAAGGCTTGTTCACTAAGAAAAGCAGTATAGGAAACAGCCTTGCCTGCCTGCTGGTCTCAGGAGGCCCTGGGTGTTGCTCACTGATTAGCATGGCATGATCTTTATGAGGGCTCTGGAGAGTAATTTATTTCTGATCCAGGACTGAGTAATTATGGTTCTCCTGGGTTTACTGGCTTGTTTTCTTTAATCTGAGAAACGCTGAATGTGTAAGTACTTTCTCTTTAAGGATCACGTTGAGCGTTCAGAACCAGGGTGGTTGTCCACCCACACTCGAGAGAATATAGATGCTCAGAGGCCATAGTTGCCTTGGCTACACATACCCACTGTCCTCTCTCTTTTGCCTGCCCCTCAGATTTACAGCCAATGTGATATCTTTCCCTGTGGACATGCAGGCATGTTTTTGAAGAAAGGTAACTGGAATGGAAGTACATGAATGTACTATCGGAGCCAGTCAGAACCGGTTTCACCTGCTTCCTTTCTCCTTGTAGATCGAGATGCTACCAGACGGGCTGTTCCAGTGCAAGAAGCTCCAGTGTCTGCTTCTGGGGAGAAACAGCCTAACAGATCTGTCCCCTCTGATCGGGGAGCTGTCCAACCTCACCCACCTAGAGCTCATCGGGAACTACCTGGAGACTCTGCCTCCAGAACTGGAAGGGTGTCCCTCCCTGAAGCGGAGCTGTCTGGTTGTCGAGGACACTTTGCTCAACACGCTCCCGCCTCCCGTGACAGAACGTTTGCAGACGTGCTTAGATAAATGTTGACCTAGAGATCAGACCCACGGCGAAAGCGCTTTTCAAGTAAGGCCCCAGGGCTCTAAGGTAAATGATCTCTCCTGAGTTATGAAGATGAGAAATGGCTGATGGTTATGACACACCATAACCAAAAATCTTACTGAATAACACAGTGTCTAAAGCAAGTGGGAGGAAAGATGTCAACACTGGAGTTTGGGAAATAACTGATCTTTAAATTATTGAAGATATTGTAAGAAAAAGTATACATTGTGGTGGACTGAGAGGCATGCAATTAGGGAAGCTTTACCTTTCCTGTCTGTCTTCAGGACTGTTTCTCTTCTTCTCTCCATTCAGCCTGTTCTTATTTGCACACTTGTTTTCCTGGCTTTCTAGTTTTGATATTTATCACCAAACCCATAAAGACTCATCAGCGTCAATGTCCTTGATGTATGCTCATCATTTGATTTATAGTCTTCCATTTGTTTAAGCAGGATGTGTGTGCTTGGCTTACTTCCTACTTCCTTTCTCATTTGCTGAAATCTTCTGGCTTTCCCCGAACATCCCTGGGAGAATGCTCGCGTTGGCATTCACCTACAATGGGAGCCAGGGTTCTGAGGACGCGTGACCCTCTGAGCATCCTAGAAATTAACAGGTTCTCAAAATTGTCTTCTTGTCTGTCGTCCAAGCCTTTTTAACATATGTTAAGAATTTTTATATGAAGTGTAACATATTTTCTACTGTATGATCTCAGATCTCCATCTCTGAGAATACTTTATAAGGAACAGTGAGCACGTGCATCTCTATAAGAATTTCCTGATTCTGGATTTGAGCTGATTATAATTCTCATGTTTGTATGCGTTCTGCCCTCAAAAGGTTTTGTACCCTGCAACTAATTACTTCTGGATGACAAAAGCCTTGTTCCCCACCCCACTAAAGTCTCTGAGGGGTTTCCCTGGGAGAGGACAGCTGCATCTTCTACCTCTCCTTGGTGTTGTGCAACCAACCATACGGGTACGCGTCTCAGTTACTTACAGACTGCTGGAGGGGAGAGGGCAAGGTCTGGACTGGAAAGCGCTCTGTAGAATAAAGCTGCAGGGCGTCCCCGGTGTGATTATGATGGAAGCTGTCTATTCTCCGCCTAACTGAGCTCATTCTCCTGGCATCCGTGCCTCTTAACTCCTGAGATAAATCTTGCTCCTTTTGACTGAGAACTTTGTGTCTGGCCCTTTATTATTGTGCACATCACTGAATAAATAAAGCAGACTGGCTCGCTGTGGAGAAGTGAACACCGCGGTGTGTTTTTCTCTGTTGGGTCTAGGCACTATGAAGCCACCTCTCTTTGGACATTAACTAAGTAGCCCATTAACTGCATCGACACAAAACTGGAAAACACTATGGGCCAGGAATCTTCTAAACACGGAACTGTGCCATGTAGTTTTCCTCTTGATTTGTTCGAAATGCCTCTTCTCTTAGCTACCACATATGCCTGACATTCAGAGAAAAGAACTGCACAGAGGAAACTCGAGTAGGGTTAGTTACAAAGAATAGATAGAAGGTCCAAAAGCTGCCTAACGCACTATGGTTGGCAAGGAACAGACTAAAAATAGACAAATAGACATTTTTAACAAAGCTTGCCTTCTTTAGACCGGCCAAGCTGAGAGTCTCAGGGAACCAGGCATGACAAGGGCAGCTCTCTCTAGGACCCCACAGACTGGTCCTGGTATAGCCAGGGTTTTCTTATTTTTACTTTTTGAAAAAATGAGTTGATGATAAATGTTCTGCTGTAGAATCATCACGTGGACCAATTCCAAAGTTAGCTGGAATTTTCTGAAGTTTTGAACATAAATGTTTTATGTGAGGGAGGTTTCAATATTGTCAACCATACTTCATATGAAAAAAAATCCTACCCTCTTTGTAGAAAAGAAATTCAAAACACAGTTCAGATTTTCTAACCTTTACATGACAAGAGAGAACATCCCCATGCCTTGCTTACCAGTGCAAGCATCTCCTACCTCCTCAGAGAAATTCCCTGGGAGAATCAAACATGAGGTACAAGCCGTTTTCCCCACCCTAGGCTGTACTGCTGGAAACCAGATAGCTCTTGATACCACCGTTCTGAGGTGTCTTTTGTATTTATTGCTTAGACAACAACGTTGAAGTAGCTTTTCAAGCTAACTCACACTTTAAAAAGGCAATGAATAATACCCTCCCATCCGACTGATGGAGATCTGTGTTAGCACTGGCTTCGCTGCCCTGTGTGGAGAGTCACCTCATACCTAAGAGAATCTTAAATGAAGAAAATGAAATCTCCAAATTATCATGAGACTTTCCAAAACCCAAACATCAAGGATCAAAAGCAAAATGTTGGCTTATAGTGTGATGGTATGGGTTCGTGTCACTTGCATCCACACATCAGTAGAGAGAGAGACACATGTCTCATGTTTGCAGATTTCCCTTAGCTTAGTCTAAGAATAGTAACTTTTTAAACATTCATTACTTTAATCATGAAGTATTCATTTTCCTTCGTTATGGTATTTAAAACCAAACACTACGTTAGTTTGAAAAGGCACCGTGTGTTCCCCCAAAGTTGGAGTTTTTCTGTCCCCTACATCAGGGCGGGTCTCTGCCGCATAGATGCCACATTTTCATTTTAATCTCCTGTGTGTCACCGTATTTCTCTGTTACTGAAAAACAGGTTGAGTTAGGGTACATGAAAACCTTGGGGTCTCAGTGATGTGGCAAGCTCCACTTTGTCTGCTTCAGTGTGCTAATGCGGCTTATTATATAACATTATTCCTTGATGGTGAAATGGTTCTGCTCATGCTTTATAATTCAGATATCATGTTTAATTAAAATATCACATTAATATTGATGAGTTCATTAAAATTAGCCAAACCCCTTTTTGTGTAGACTTGACATGATTTCCCTGAATTTTCAGTAAAATGACCTTCCCGTCTTTACATTTGGGTCGCACGGGTCCATCCACACACCGTGCGTTCGTCTTCACCACCTCACTGTATAGAAGCTGTGGATTTGTGCGGTAGCAGTTGCAGCAACATCAAGCATGCTCAGTCCTTCATTCCTGCTGTAAGAATCCAGCACTTCATTCCTGCTGTAAGAATCTGGTCACTTCAGTTTCGTTGATGACATATTGCATTGGAATCTGTATTAGTTTCTGGAGAATAAAAGATTAATTATAGAGAGAAAGGAAGACTTATTTTGCATCCTGGAGGAGAAAATGCATGAATTTAGACAGTGTAAACAAGCAACTCCTGCAGAATGTCCTGGGTGTGGCTGTGTCTGTCTTTACCTGCGTGATGTGCTGAGCCAGGGGAAAGCTGCAGAAGGCCCCCTTCCTGTCTCTTACCCACAGCTTCGACGTCCAGAGACAAGTCTACTATGTACCTTTTGCAATGAACTTCATGGACTATAATCTCTTCAGCTTTTTTAAAAAAAATATGCACAATTTCATCAACATGGAAGTATTAACACAGATTATATGAACCAAAGTACTGAGTTGAGATGGCTTCTCGTTGAACTTAATTTCATACAGGTTTTTAATCTAACACAAAATACACCCTAGCTGAGAAAAACAATTTTGAATGCCTTCTGCATGTTCATCATTTCAACAGGCCTGGTGCAGTTTTAAAAACACAAGAGGTATAGCATTAGAATGGACGTGCCTGTGCCTGCATCTGTCATGTGTCAGACTTTATAACGCTGCACAGGAAGACCTGCAGTTCTGTGCTCCGTTCTAATAAAGCAGTGGGCCAATCTTGAGTGGAGACTCTAGTTGGCGTCCAGTGAAGGCTAGCATTTGTTACTTTATCTTTGCCATATATTCGGAAATGTATATCTGGGTTTTGTTTCTGGAATGAATTACTAGAAAATATAAAATTGTGTTCAATGTTTTTGGCTCCATTCTGTAGATTTGGGTAAAATTTGCTGTTTTTAAAAGTATCTTTTGTGTAAAAAGATTAGATTTTTATAATAAATGGCTAATAAATGATTCAGTGGAAACCAAGCAGCCTCCGTGTTGCCTGTTTTTCCGTTGGTACTCAGCATCCAGCGGTCATCTCTCACTTCTCACGTGGTGTGCTCTTATTTACTAACAGTGGATTCCACATTTACAGGCAAATCTCAGTGGCTGGGTTTCCTGAGTGTGCAGCAATGGACGCAGAATAGCCAGCCTTGGACTGGAAGTGAGTTAGCAGTGGCGTATGCAGGAGATGGGAGTAAGTGCTCTGTGCCCATCTGTGCTGACTATGCAAACCATGCCGCTCCCACTGTCCCTCCAGAAGTCCAGGGGTAGATGCTCAGACACCAGCTCTGCCTCCCGCCCTTCCTGCTGGCACCTGTTCCTTCATGCGCTGCTAACACCAGGGCTGAACAGTGTACCTGATAAATGAACTCTAAGTAACTGTTAAACGGTTCTCAGCAGGCTTAGTGAAGGGGGAGAAAACTGAGTACGAGACAAAATAGGCATGTGATAATTTGATGTTTGGAATCAAATACTTTTCTTAATGGGGCTAGGAAAAGGCTGAGCAGGTAAAACACGTGCTGCCATCCAAGCATGAGGACCTAGGTGTGGGTTCCCAGCATCCAAGTACAGCCGCATCTGTAATCCCGTGCTCTTACAGCTAGATGGGAGGGGCAGCAGGATGCCCAGAAATTCACGGGACGTGGATACCTGAGGAGGACCTCTGACCTTCACACTCTAACCTGTGTATGAGTACCCTACGCGCATGCGCACACAGACACGCGATAAAGTCTTACTCTGTTACATGAGTGCACTTACACCTATTAGAAAGCTGGCAGAGGAACTCACCTTTGTCAGAAGAAGTAGATACTGAACCAGAATATAAACTAAAGTAGCCGGGGTCACAGACAGCCTCTGGCCTTGGGCTCCCCTAAGTGTGTAGGAATGGGAAACGCATCTTACCGCGGCAGTCATGGGTGCCACAGGCTTCCCCGGCCTTCTGGAAGGTGCTTAAGTGAGTCAGGGCGAGCAACCCCAGGAGCCTGCGGTCCCGGGGCTTCTTCGCACCAGTATTTGCTTCCTCCTTTCAAGATGGCACCTCGAGAATGTGGTGAGCGTCCTGAGCGGGGAAGGGAGGCTGTGTGGGCTACTCTGGGGCTGGATTTGTGTCTCTGGAGCTGCAACTTTTGTGCAGTTTTTGCTTCCATCCTTGGACTCCGTACCCGCTCCGTGGCTCCTGCTTCTACAAGTAGCCACAAGCCCCAAAAAGGATCAGAAGAACAGTCATTTTAATGTGTAGTCTTTTAAAGTTCAGTCCCCATCTGCTCGGTGCTGCCTCGTCCTTGACACTTACCGCATAGCTTTTCTGTCTTTGACACAGATTCTATAAAGCCTGCCCTGAGATTTGCTAAGTAATTGATATTCAAGCAAGCTTGAGCCCGTTGTTGGACGCTCAGCACTCATCATTTTTTTTTTTTTACTCCCTACCTCCCCCTGCTGCTGAGAGGATGGTAACTCAGAAACCAGTGTGGCTCCAGATCCTTTCTTGAGGGAACATGCTCATGTGGTCCTTACCAAACAGAGAAAACAGACTCTGTGCTTTCTGCGAACCCCAAACTTCCCGAGACAGCCCCTTTCCTCACTCTTCAAAGCCCTCTTCTCTCAAGCATGTCCCACGCTCTAAACCTTCCTGGTAATTTCTAGAAGTTGCCAATTAAATGGCGTCTCAGACTTAAGATTCCCCAAGTTTCCCTACATCTCCCAGTCTATACAATTATCTCGGCCAGTCTTCTCACCCATGGGGTAAGGGCCTCAACGCCACGTGCGTAAAACACCCATGGGGTTATGAAGCAGCCCGAGCTAGAGAGCAGCGGCTGGAGGCTAATTTCTTTCCTGGTGTGGCCTTTTAACCAATTACCTGCTCAGGTTTAGCCTCACTCGGCTCACTCTCACCCGGCCTCAGTTATTTTATCTCAAAGGAAATGCACAAAGGCTCCATGCAGGACCTCCCAGTGTGAACATTGTGGGTCAGAATTCACACCCTCTGGGCGGTGGTGACGCATGCCCTTAATCCCAGCTCTTGTGATGCAGAGGCAGGCAGATCTCTGTGAGTTCGAGGCCAGACTGGTCTACAAGAGCTAGTTCCAGGACAGGCGCAAAGCTACAGAGAAACCCTGTCTGGGGGTTGGGGGGAATGTAACACCCAATTAAAAACATAAACAAAACTTGGTTTGAATAGCCAACATAGACTTGGTAAAGATGGAAAAACTGATTTTCTGTTCATAAAAATCATGATGTCCACTGCTCTCTCATGAATCTGCAGGAGAAATCAGAATCCTGGTGGGGATTTGAAGGTGTAAAGACACCACATCTCAACCTTCCTGTCACTGTTTCTCAACTGTCAGCCAGCCCAGGCCTCGTGGGTAGGCTGCCTGTGGTCTTACCTCCAAGCACTTCACCTTCTTGGCCCACTCATGCCCCTCCCCAGATCACACTCCCTCCAGTAACACCTCTCCCCTCCCCTCACAGCCTCATCCGGCCCATGTGCCAAACTCACGTGTCCTTACCCATCACTGAATCCCACCACCAGGAATATTAAGTAGATATTGGTCCAAAGAAGACACCTTGGTTTATACTCAGCAACATCAATAGTTTCAACATTCTCTCTTCCTCCAAGTTTCCTGCCATGTTTTCATAACTGAAAGAATAAGAGTTACTCAATATAATCCGGTAACCTATGGGATTGCAGTCAGAAGATGGAGTTAACTGGCCCCATATTCCCAATTATTCTAATGACATTTCACCCTCTGGCAGATTAGCAACTCTAGGCACCTGTCCAAAGGTACTAATGCCTAGTTCAGCGTGACCTGGCACACGGTACCCGACTCCTAGCCACATTCTCGGCAGGAGTTAACAAGCAACAAATTAAAAGGCAATTTTGCTCTCAAAATCCCTAGCAGGTGTGAGATAGCCAAGCCGAAAGGCTTTCCTCCCGTAGTTGCTCAATTGCATCACTAGGGGGCATCAAATGCTGCCTGTATGGGAGGAATCTTTTTCTCCAGAAAAATGATTTGGCTTCACACCCCTGCCTTGCTACGGCCATACCATAGTAGTGCGTAGAGTGCTCAGACCCTTTGAAAGGCAGCAGTTGCCACTTCCTCTTCTGAGTCAATCAAGCTAGCCTGTTCACAATCTTTCTTGAACAGTTGCTCCGTGCGAGGGAAAAGCTCAGAAGTCTCTCCCGTTTCTGAGTCCTTCAATGCCTGCCTGCCTTATCATCTAATCTAGTCCTGCAGACAGAATTTACCGGCGAGAAAGCACCGTGGAGAGATTCCTGAGGAAAGGTCACCACCCGCGGAGGGAGAAAACAGCCCTCCCTCCGCTGACGGAGCAGTGCGGCGCCTCCCCCACGGCCCAGAGAGAGCTCCTGCTCTGCTAGGCTGGGAAACACGAGGCCTCGCGTCTGTCAGAGCTCAGATTGGCAACCGCGTTTGCTGCCTCGCCAAGCCCAACAAAACAAGCTGCAGTCTTCCCGTTGGGAACCCGCCTTTATGGGAACCCCTTGCTGTGCACAGGGCATTGCCAACTGTAGGCTCTTGTTCCCCTTCCATACACAAGCAGCTAGCTCAGCTCTCAAAGATCTCCCCAATGAGAATCGTTTCTGAAAATGCCCTGAGTACCTCCCGTGGGCTTTAGGAATGCCGTTGATGCTTAAAGCCTAAGTAGGCAGGAACTCCATTTTATAGGTGAAAAATAGGTTCAGGCAACTTGACTGCCATACCGGACTGTATGTTAGATTAAACAGAAAGTCGGTACCACCGCTGGGTTTTGAGCTAGAGATCAAAACTTGCACCAGCTCTTTACCGGTTCCGCACACTAACACTGCCGAGGTCACATGTCTAAGGAGTATGGGGAGTTGGAGTACTACACGGCCCTTTCTAATATGAGGGGCTGAAATGAATATTCTGAGAAAGGGGATGCAAGTGCCTGCCAGTATACCCGCCCAGCTCTAAACACATCTTAGAAGAAATATGCCATCCAAGTGACTGTTTTTAGACTGCATATATTTAAGCATGCATAGCTTTTATTTCAGCGGCTTTTCCCCTAGCTGCTCTCATTAGAGGGACGGGTGTCCCGCTGGGCTGTGTAGCCTAGGGCCCCTATCTATTGAAAAGTTGTTACCACTGTGGTCTTGCTTCCAGTTGCTGAGGGAGCTCCCAGTTTGGGTTTTATTGGAGACAGAGTTACAGATTTAGTCCCCACAAGCTCTGATTTATTATAGGAAAATCCTGGCAGGCATCTCAGACTTGCAAAATGAATTCCTCACACAGTTCTGCTACACTACCCCTCTGTTGTGGACTTAGCTCCTTGGAGCATGAGGAGGAGGGGCGAGCTACACCGTCCTGATTGAATTCATCCCTTGTTCCAGATAAGAAGCTGTGGTCTGAGCTCTAAGCCCAGCTCTGCCCCTGGTTGACTGCACAGCCGAGCACAGAGAAAGGCAAGGCCAAAGCTCTCGTGTCCACTGCCATACAGGCCTGGTTCTCTCGGTTCTCCTGGTGTGCTTCAGATTGCTTGCCCTCTGAGACATTATGCATGTGAAACCTCCACAAATCAAGTAGCTCGGCTGCCTCCAGGGCTCGCTCACACTGACGGACTGCCTGCCATTTGGGGCCCCCACCCACATGCACTGAGATCTGCTAATGGAAAGTTGACTCCTGGGGCTCAGTCATACACACAGTCTTCCTCCTTGAGAAGAAAACTGGCCCTTCCTTTCCCTTTGTTCCCTCTTTGGTAACAGGTGTCTGAGGAGAGTTGAGGGCTTTTGCAAAGCCAGAAATGAGTTCAATGGTTGCTTGGGTGTTGGTGTCAGGTACTCAGGATAGGCACTGGTGAGCCAATGGCTGGCGGGCCTGGAGAAAAGCAACCGCCTGGGGGAGGCTGACTGTGCTGAGGATGATGAAGGAAGATAATGGTGTCAGCGCTCACGAGTCCAGCATCCCCAGTGTGCTGTGTCCCTGGCAGCACGCCCAGGGTAATGTCTGACCTCTGCGACCTCGCGGGCTGGTGGGTCCTCTGTTGCGGGAGCTGCCTGCTGACGCTCATCTCTTGATCGTCACACAAATGCCGGGTGAGTGGGCCGTGTCGCTGAGGGATGGGACTGAGTCATTTTCCTCAGCGCGCTTGTCACTCGTTTCTTTTTTCAGCCTTTGAAGTGATTCACTTTCCTGAACACATGAGCAGAACTCTTCGCTGAAGAACCCAAAGCGTCGTAAGCGACTGAAATCGTCTTCAAAGGCTGTTCTGTGGGGCAGCCCCATCAGAGAGCCAGGCACACAGTAAAGAGAGGCTGTTTAAAAAGGATAGGAGCGGGGTCAGCGGGCATGATGCTCGAGTGTCTGTTCTCTGGAAGTCCTGAGCTTGAGCGGGTACAGGAGACCTTAGAGTTGCTCTGCCCGCTCCCCTCCCCCTCTCCCGGCTTTAACATGGAAGGTGGAAGATGCCTGGCATGCAGCCCAGGGTCCTCGCAGAAGGGGATCCCCGCAGCTTGGGGTTCTCAGGTTTTGTTCTCAAGCTCTGAGCACAAGTGTCAACTTGGCACCTGGCAAAGCAACTGTAGGCTGGGAACACTGCAAAGGATTGGCTTCTGACTGGGTGGGGTTCACACCCTCCCCTGACTGGCTCCTAGGCATAAGCTGTGTACCCTCAGGCTTTCTGCTATGCAGAGGGCTTCCTGCAGGGGGCACTGTGCATGACCTCTGCGCTCTGGTGCCCAAGCCAGCACTGACTGCTGACTTCCCTGCACCTAGAGGAAGCTAAGACCTCTGTCTTTAAAAGGGCTGGGCTGTCCCGTGGTCCAGCAATGGTTACAATCATTGTCTGCTTGATGAGGTGGAGAATGACCTGGGAGGTGGGCCTCTGGACATGCCTGTGGAGAATAACCTTCATTAGACTAATAAAGGTATAACCACTGTGGTTGATGACACTATTCCTTGGGCTGAGATCCTTGGCTGTATAAAAAGAGAAAATGTGCTGAACGTGAGTGTCCATCGCTTTCTTCATGACTGTGGACCAGCTGCTCCAAGCTCCTGTTGCCATGACGAATGGCCCCATACTGTGAGCCAAGATAAGCCCTTGCTCCTTGAGTTGCTTCTGTCAGAGCAACATTATCACAGCAGCTCAGAGAGAAACTCTCATGGGCAACCTGGAGGATACTTGTCTCCATGCTGAGTTAGAGTCCTGTTTCCACCAATTATCCTTGGTTCCTCTTTAAGAGATATAAATGTCCTTCTACAATGATCCAGTCCCTGCCGCTATCCCATGGCTGCCTTAGGTAGTGAGCATGCAGCTGGGCTCAACCTCATGGAAATGCACAGTGCTGCTCTGAGGAAACGTGGCTCAAAACGAGGAAACGTGGCTCGTAAGTAAAAGGATCCAGTGTAAAACACAGACAGGGCCCGAATTTATGTCCATAAATCCTGTACAAACTCCCAAGGGAAGCTACAAGCACTGCTTTAAACAAGGCCCGTTACATACTCAGGAAGTGTTCGTCCTCCTGTGTGAAGTGTGACTCCAGCATGTCACTCGCCCTCTCAGGACCTCAGTTTCCTCTTCTGTAAAATAAGGCGACGTGAACCACATATCATCCCTAAGGCTGTGTCAGCACTGCAATGCTGTGATTACCTGTAGCGTACAAATGGGTTTCCTAACATGGGAATCAGCTGAACTGGGGAGACAGCTCAGAGGGTAAGGCACTTGCCCCCTGGGGATTGCAAACCCCCTGATCCCTGAAACCCAAGTAAAGGTGGAAGTAGAGAATCAACTCCATGGAGTTTTCCTCCAACCTCCACATGTGAGTTGTGGCAAGCATGCTTGCACACATACATCATATAACATATATACACATGCACATAACAGTGGATGTGTGCATTTTCCCTGAAGAACCTTTTTATGGGCTGTCATCCTGACTCCAGAAGCTGTGCGATGATCTTACAGGCCTGATTATTCTTCCCTAGCGAGTATTTCAAATATGCCCGCACAGTCCAGCGTAACGTTTCTGAGTTCACTGTGAATTTCTTTTCATCTGAATAGTATACTTGAGTGATGATCACGTTCCTACTTGCTCTCCGTGGTCCATGCAGTTCTGAGTGTGACCAAATACCAGCCTTGCACAAGACTGCACCATCGCTTCCCACCCCTGCCCCACCTACACAGCTGTCAATCAGATGCATGGGGGATGCTCTCTGGCTTCAAGCTAGAACTCAGGGTAGAAGACACGGGAAAAGGACTAGGTCCAGGATGGCCTCTGGAATGCAGGGTTCCCAGCCCTGCCACTCTATGACATCCTGGTGTCTTGGGTTTTTAAAAGAATCTAATCTACACGATAACTCCTTTGATTTGACTTTTATTTGGAAGGATTTGCCTGGTGCCATTTCTCTACAACATTCAGAACAAGATACAATCTCTTGAGTCAGCTACATAGAGTGAACCTTTCCACGCATAAAGAAACATCTGTCCTCCATCTGCAGGGCCTTGAAAAACAAGACTTTCAAGTGCTGTGTAGGACACTAATGCTTGCAAAGAGCGAGAATTTCCTTCTTTTCTTCTTTTTACTAAAATCCTGATGAATGTCAAACAAGATCTTTTCATCTTGCCTATCATTTTCCAAAGAGCACCCCGGAAGGTCAC